GCTGATTTTTTGATTTATTGTAGAGATGAGGTCTCGCTGCCCAGGTGGGTCTCGAACCCGCGGGCTCAGGCAATCCACTCACCTCAGCCTCCCAAAGGCGCGGGATTACAGGCTGAGCCACCGAGCCCGGCTCAGTTAATTTTTTAAAATTTATTATAGAGATGAGGTCTCGCCAAGTTGCCCAGGCTGGTCTTGAACCCACAGGCTCAGGCAATTCTCTCACCTTCGCCTCCCAAAGTACTGGGATTATAGGCGTGATCCACCCACTGCGCCCAGCCTAAAAAGCTATTTTTAAAAGTCTTTTGAAGGAATGAACAAATCTACGGCATTTTTTCTTGAACTAACCTTCCCTACGTCTTGTGGAGCTGGCTGCAACATCACTGAACAGGGCAGGTAGTCAGGAAACTACGGAAAGAGACAAAGAATCATTTACTTCAGAGGGAGTTATTATATGGATAGCACATAATTATTGTACAAAAATTGAAAAATGAAGATACATGAGAAAAAAGAAAAAACAAATTATATTCCTGACACCCAGATAAACATTGTTAGCGTGATTTTCCAAAAATTTTCTATGAGTACACATAGATAAGAATGTATATGTTTTACAGCAATGGAACCAAATGACGAGCATGCCTGTGGTCTGTTTACTCACCTCATCAACCCTAACTCTATTCAGAAAGCACATGGCTACTTTTCCACGACATGAAATATAGTTCTTCACCATCATTTGTAGGGCCTCCTATAACGCACATTTAAAGTAGCCAATCCCCTTTGTTGGCTACTTAAATGGTCTTTGTCTTTTTGCCATTATAAACTGTGCTATAATACATCTCCTTCTTATACACCTTAGCACAGTTTTAGCCAATTGATTCCATAGGCTACCTTATTAGAAAGAGAAATCACATGTTTTAAGGTTTTTGATGCATGTTGACATCAAAAAGATTATGTCACTTCAGACTCTCAGAACAAGGTCATGGGAGCACCTAGGACCATGTAACTTTTTAAAAAGTGATTTTGTAAAACAATTATGACAAAATAGAATAGCACAGAATTTATCATTTAAGCTGTTTTAAATGCACAGTTCATTGATATTAAGTACATTCACACTATTCTACAATAATCACCACCATCCATTTCCAGAACTCTGTCATCATTCCAAACCTAAACTCTGTGCCCATTAAAACCCAACCCTCCATTTCTCCTTCCTCCAGCCCCTGGGAACCTCTCTTTTGCTTCTGTCTGCATGAATCTGACTACTCTGGCTTCCTCCTATAAGTGACATCATACAGTATTTGTCCTTTGGTGTCTGGCTCCTTTCAATTATCATAATGTCCTCAAGGTTCACCCATGTTGCGGCATGTATCAAAATGTCATTCCCTTTTAAGGCTGACCCATAGAACTTTGAAGGAGTTGATGCTCTTAAGACAAACTTGCTATAAAAGAGGATGGCACTAGCTCCCCACATTGAGTTCACCCAGAGGACTTCACCCAGAGCTCAGAGGACTTGCATGCTGGCACCATGGGTAGCCAGGTCTCACTGGGCAAGATGTGGACCTCCAGAGAGGTGAAGGGGTGTGTCTTCTGGAATTCCCCCAAGCTGTGGGCAAGGTTAAAGTTCTCCTGCCCTGCAGCGAAATTTTTCCCACTTAGAACACCCTGGGGCCAGATGAGGGGCACTTCTGTGAACTTTCTTTTTATAGCTGAGCAAGTGAAAGAATAACACACGCTCATATAATTAGGTGGTCAGATGAAGGGAAATATTTAAACGGTAGGTTGAACTGGTGCCTTCAAAGGCTGAGAGGCTATTTTCAAGGACTTAAAAAAAGACAATCACAGACCATGCACTCTAGAATTTCTTTCAAGTGTGCAATTTACAGACCCACAGATGTGAAGTCCTTCCTCTGTCCCCTTCCCTTTGCGTTCACATGATAAGGTACTGGGGGTGAAAAAAACAGGGCCTGGCGAGGAGTCACTCACCGTGAGCAGAAAGGGGTATGTATTAGCCCCCAGCTTCTTGAGGAGGCTCTCCTGCAGTTTTGTGGGGGTGCTTGCGGCCCCCACAGGAGGGTACACCTGGACCCGGGAAAAGTATAGGTCCCTGCGGAAGGTCAGTCCCATCACATCAATGTCCTCCTGGCCATATCGGAAGGCACAGGTCAAAGAGACGTACACTGGAAGAAGACAAAGACAGGTCAGAATTGCACCCTCAGCTTGGTGGCCGCTACCCCCAGGCAGAGTGGGCAATGGGTGGACACGCCACCTGCTGGCCACGGGTTTCCAACCTTTACCACCTGGAAATGATGGGATTTGAAGACCCACACTACCCAACTGGTCCACACAGTCTTGGAGAATCAGCACCTTGATGAGGGTTAGTGTTAATCTCTCGAAAGGGAGGCATCAGAGAATTGGGAGCCTCTTCCCCTCAACCATATTATCTTGCCATGATGGTAGAAATCTGTGGACAGAGAACACCTCACTCAGCTCTTTTCTCGGTCCTGCCAGCCCCTTCTTCCACCAGCTCAGTGACCTCGGAGGCTTTGAGACTGCACTGATGGTCATGTTCTGAAGGGCAAGATGTCTCGGTGGAGTGAAGGGGGCAGATAAGAAGGAGAGAGGCCGGGCCAGTGGCTCACGCCTATAATCCCAGCACTTTGGGAGGCCGAGGTAAGAGGATTGCCTGAGCCCGGGTTCGAGACCGGCCTGGGCAACTTGGCAAGTCCTCATCTCTACAATAAATCAAAAAATTATAGCCGGGCTCGGTGGCTCAACCTGTAATCCTGCGCCTTGGGAGGCTGAGGTGAGTGGATTGCCTGAGCCCGCGGGTTCGAGACCTGCCTGGGCAACTTGGTGAAACCTCATCTCTACAATAAATCAAAAAATTAGCTGGGAGTGGTAGCGCACGCCTGTAATTCCAGCTACTTGGAAGGCTGAGGCGGAAGGATCGCTGGAGCCCAGCAGGTCGAGGCTGCGGTGGCCGGGAGTGGCCACTGCACTCCAGTCTGGGCGACAGAGTGAGACTCCAACTCAAAAAAAAAAAAAAAATTAGCTGGGCGTGGTGGTGCATGCCTGTAATTCCAGCTACTTGGAAGGCTTTGGTGGAAGGATCACCTGAGCCCAGTAGGTCAAGGCTGCAGTGGCCATGAGCATGCTACTGCACTCCAGCCTGGGCAACAGAGTGAGACTCCAATTCGGAAAAAAAAAAAAAACGGAGAGAGAAACAGTGTAAAGCAACAACAGAGACATGTGTCAGACATGGGGCTGACCAAGGAGTCAGAGGGGCTCAGGGTTAAGCGAGAGATGAAATCAAATCCAAGAAGGCCCAAGTTCCAGCCTCCTTTTCACATTGCTCTGAAACTTACTGAGCCTTCTCTAAATCACCACTTCTAAAAATTCCCTTTGATGAAACAGACTTAAAGTGTGCCCCCAGTAGACCAGAAGAATTGTAGGGAGGTTCACTGCACATTGTTTGAAAAAGATATGAAACACATATTTCTCTAATAGAAAGCATATCAGAAGTGATACCTCCAAGGACTTGGTAGCTGTCAGTTGAGGATTTTGTCTATGTCAACCCAGAGGATAACTGTCCCTCACCACTCACCCACCCCTCATTCAAGATGCTCTGAGATGACTTGGTTTGAAGTCAGCCTGCTCTCACGAGGAAGTAGCTTTCCCTGAGAGCAGTGCTCTTCTCTGGATAAGTGCACGGGTTTTCAGGGCTCAAACCAGACTTCTCATAGTCCAGAGAGGAGAAGGATGGAGAGGACAGAAGAGGGTGGTTTGGGCCCCATTTTGGCCACGCACCCTTGATGCTGATGGCCCCACAGCTAACATATTCCAGTGGGCACATCCAGGGTTCAGAACAATTCCTTGCTGTTGCCAATAGCAACCACTCAAAAAGGCATATTTAGAATGGAACTGAGTCAGTGACATTATCACAAGGATAGCTTGAATCTGTTCTAATTTAGTTTACGCAACTGTTATTAGTAACAAATTACTTGCCACACACATCACAACCACCAGAAATCTTCAAGGGCACTGTGATGTTGCGGTCAGAACCATGAAGCAAGCATAAACCTAAATTCTGGCTCTTTCTCCCCCTACCTCCTAGCAGGCATCAGTCCCCACTTTTTGGATAAAACCACCTAGGAGTCCTCCCGAGTTCACCCCCAGCACAAAACTACATGACACAGGGTGAGTACACATTGATGGAGATTATGGATCTGTGCTCCATCCACTGTCTACTTGTCTGCTACCCTGGACCATGGCTTCGCTGAGTCCAGTGAGCTCCAATGTGAATGGGATCTGTGTCATAAGGTTATGCAAAGGAGGGTAGGTAAATGGCCCTGACACTGAGTGCATGTGCCAGAGAGCTGCCCTCTGTCTTTCCATCCCTTCTTTCACACAATTGCCTTCTTCCCAGAGTCGCCTGGAGGCTGGCCTGTTCTCCACAGAGGACAAGGAGCTCCGCCTCACCTTTCTTTCCCTTCACGAGGTCAGGATCAACCAATACGACACCATCTAATGAAAAAGAGGGAGAGAACAGTGAGGGTGGAGAAAAATCAAAGAAACCAGATGCCTACTTTAAAAACTATATCCATTTTTTAATTGCATATGTAATCCATGCTATTATAGAAAAATTAGAAAGGGAAGTTAAGCAAAGAGAAAACAAAGTCATCCAAATTCTCACTATCCAAAAATATGATATCATCGTCAAGATACTGGTGCTGATTTTTTCCACCAGATATATATACACTTAATCATGTGAATGTTTTTACAAAAAAAAATTTTACTGGATGTACTGTTCAGTTAACTGCTTTCCTCACTCAATTGCATGTTGCAAATATCTTTCACATTCACACATATATGTACATATATACATATATATATAATATGTACTATTTATTTATTTATTTGAATTGGAGTCTCACTCTGTCGCTCAGGCTGGAGTGCAGTGGCACACTGACGGCCACCATAGCCTCGACCTGCTGGGCTCAGGCGATCCTTCCACTTCAGCCTTCCAAGTAGCTGGAACTACAGGCATGTGCCACCATGCCCAGCTAACTTTTTGATTTATTGTAGAGATGAGGTCTTGCCAAGTTGCCCAGGCTGGTCTTGAACCCATGAGCTCAGGTAATCCTCTCACCTCGGCCTCCCAAAGTTCTGGGATTATAGGTGTGAGCCAGAGCGCCCGGCCCAATATGTACTAATTTTAATAGCTACATATTACTCCATTGAAGGAATGTTCTATAAATTATTTAATTGAACTCCTACTGTTAGGGCATTTAGGTTGTTTCAATTTTTCCCAGTATAATTAATATTGTGATGAACATCCTTATGCATTAAACTTTATATTTTTCCATGATTGAAAAAATAAATTATGGGACTGGATTTGGCTTTTGATAACATGCTGCCAAATAACCTTCCAGAAAGGTTTGCCAAGGAACATTTTCATCTTCAGTGCCTGAAACTGCCAGTTTTGTTACGCTTTTTGAAAAAATTTTTTGTGTTGAAATAATTATAGATTCACAGGAAGTTGCAAAGATAGTACAGAGACGTCCCCAGTATCCTTCATCCAGTTTCTCCCAATGGTTACATCTTACATAATTATAGTACAATATCAGAACTAGGAAGCTGACGTGGGACATTTTGGTTCTTTCCGGTTTGGAGTCACTACAAATAAATCTGCTGTGAACAATCATGTATAGGTTTTTGTGAGGACATAAGTTTTCATTTCTCTGGGATAAATGCCCAGGAATGCAATTATTGGGTCATATGATAAGCGTATGTTTAGTGTTTTATTTTTATTTTTTTTTTATTTTATTTTTTAGTTGGAGTCTCACTCTGTCACCCAGACTGGAGTGCAGTGGCCGCTTCCGGCCACCACAGTCTCGACCTGCTGGGCTCCGGCGATCCTTCTGCCTCAGCCTTCCAGGTAGCTGGAACTACAGGCGTGCGCTACCACGCCCAGCTAATTTTTGATTTATTGTAGAGATGAGGTCTCACCAAGTTGCCCAGGCGGGTCTTGAACCCTCAGGCTCAGGCAATCCACTCACCTCAGCCTCCCAAAGGTACGGGATTACAGGCTGAGCCACCGAGCCCAGCTGTTTAGTGTTTTAAGAAGTTGCCAAACTATTTTCCAGAGTGGCTGCACCATTTTAATTCCCACCGACAATACATGGGTGACTCCGTTTCTCTGCACCCTCATCAGAATTTGGTATTGTCACTGTATTTTATTTTAGCCATTTTGACAAGCACATAATGATATTTCATTGTGGCTTTAACTTGTGTCTTCTTTGATGAAATGTCTCTTCTTGTCTTTTGCCCATTCTCATTGGATTTTGCTTTTTATGTTGTTGAGTTCTGAGTGTTTTTCATATATTCTAGAAATGAGTTCTTTGTCTTCACACACTCTTTAAAATGGTTTCCAATCAGCCAGTAGCACCTCACTGATGTTTTAATTTGTATTTCTTTAATTAGATTATTAGCAAGGGTGATTTTTAAAAACACAAAACTAGCAGTTGCCTGATGACTTAAAGGAAAACCAGGACAAAATTTTTACTCTAAACAACTTACCTACAGGCTGTACTTGGCTGACATAGTCTATATAGTCTCTCTTTCCCAGGTAGATGGTCACCTGTGGGAAGAACAGGTACAGGTTCTAAATGTCCAAAGAATACTGAGCTCAGGCATCTATGTTAAAAACCAGCAACAACCACATCTACTTATTAGACGTGAAAAGAGAAGGCTTTGCAGCTTGTCTATCACTTCCTTCTCTTCTGGCTCAGCAATGGGCAGAGATGATGGATTTCAGGTAAGGTGTGCTCTGTCCTCAGTTCTCACATATCTGCTCCAAGGAGTTCTTGTCACTCCTTTGGGTGGTCAGAGGCTCTCTGATCGCCCCACCTTTCCCCATTAAGCCCAGATCTGATACCAACCAGGTAAACTTGTTGAACTAGCCAATCATACTTTATCGGAAAGTTATACCTATGCAAATGAGATTTCTGCCATCCATTTGCATCTTAAATCTTTTATTTCTGGCCATGGAATAAAAGGTTTCCTCTCTTTGGCGGACTCAGTGGCTCAGTCTGTAATCCCAGCACTTTGGGAGGCCGAGGCAAGTGGATTGCCTGAGCCCCCGAGTTTGAGACCTGCCCGGGCAACTTGGCAAGACCTCATCTCTACAATAGATAAAAAATTAGCCAGACGCGGTAAAGCGTGCCTGTAGTTCCAGCTACTTGGAAGGCTGAGGTGGAAGGATTGTCAGAGCCCAACAGATCGACGCTGGGGTGGCAGAGAGCGTGGCACTACACTCCAGCCTGAGTGATGGAGTGAGACTTCAATTTTAAAAAAAAAGGTTTCCCTCTCTTTATTAAAAGAATTTCTGCTCTGAGAAAAGAGGTGGGCATTTTGGAGGAGTCCCTGAAACCCCACCTGGTGAGCTTCTGCACAGGTGAAGCTGAACTCATGCTCTGAGGAATGTGGGGGACCTAGGCAGAGAGGGGCTGACCATGGGCTGGACTCTCATCCAGTTTGTGTCCTACCCCTGGGAGCAAAGTTCTCTTTATTCCCTTTGTGGGAAAGCAGGGTTGGGTTCATCACTGCTCACAACTTTAACCCATGAGACTAGGAGTGCCTTGATGGGAAGAACTCAGTCTTTTTTTTTTTGAGTTGGAGTCTCACTCTGTTGCTCAGGCTGGAATGCAGTGGCATGCTCACGGCCACTGCAGCCTTGACCTGCTGTGCTCAGGTGATCCTTCCTCCTCAGTCTTCCAAGTTGCTGGCACTACAGGCACACACCACCATGCCCAGCTAATTTTTTGATTTATTGTAGAGACGAGGTCATATCAAGTTGCCCAAGCTGGTCTCGAACCCGTGGACTCAGGCAATCCTCTCACCTCAGTCTCCCAAAGTGCTGAGATTACAGACTTGAGCCACCACGCCCGGTGAACTCAGAGTCTTGTATGCATCTTTAAGCCATCACAGTATCTCCTACAGTGTCTGGTACACAGAAGGACTCACACAGTGTTTGCCAAGTACACCCGCGAACAAATGAGAGCACACACCCTGGTTGGCCCCCTTCTTCTAATACATCTTTTTAATTCCACAAACAGCCCAAATCACTTTTGTTAGCATCAAGTCATCTCTACTCTACCCTCCCACTCCATATCAGATGTCCCAAAGTGGGTTCCTGTGCATTCTAGGTCATTTGCATGACTGATGTTGCAGTGACATCAAGCAAATACCACTAGAATCCTGGTTTACAGAGAATATTCCATGGGAGACCTCATAAGTCCAGTACCAAGCATGTCAGAAAGGCCTCAAATGGCCTGGGCGAGTATGGGAAGCTGGCATCTGAGGGAAGAGAGCTGCCTAGGACACTCTGTGCCACATGCCCCTTGCCTGCAGTGAGCACCAGTTTCCTGAACACGGTGGATGTCTTGACCTCACCCTCTAGATCCCCACTCCACCCTGGGGAGGCTGATCAGAGTGAGCTACCCTAGTAGACTCCCTGGCCTTCTGGGTTCTGGCATGGTGGGTCAGATGGTTATCCATCACTTGCCTGCAAGGCAGCCTGGCCTGGGGGTGGCACAGGCCTCTACCTGGGGTCACAGTTCCTGGCAGGTAGCCCTTAGGCTCCAGTGTACCAGTGCCCAGATGCTACTAACCTCCATGTGGTATATTGAGTTCTTCCTGTGATCTTTCATAGCTGTCCACACCTTAGTAAATATCTTCTTTTAAAAACTCTCCTCAAGACCAGGTGCAACGGCTCACACCTATAATCCCAGCACTTTGGGAGCTTGAGGCAACAAGATTGCCCAAGCCCAGAAACTCGAGATCAACCTGGGCAACATGGTGAGACCTAGTTTCTACAATACATCAAAAAATTAGCCAGGCATGGTGGCATGTACCTGTAGTCCCAGCTACTTGGAAGGCTGAGGCAGAAGGATTGCTTGAGCCCAGCAAAACGAGGATATGGTAGCAGTGATTGTGCCACTGCACTCCAGCCTGAGTGAGACTCTGACTCAAACAAAACAAAACAAAACAAAACCTTTCCTCAGATCCCTCTATTTAAAGGGTTTCTTCCAGAACTCTAACTAACACATTTCTATTCTGCTGGTCAGTGTCTGGTAGCTGCTCCCTGTGGAATAAAATCTAGTCCCTTGCATGAGGTCTACAAGGTCATTTAAGCCTTGGCTCCAAGCCGCCCTGAGAGTGTCCTCTCTAAGAGCCCTGCTCTTCCCCTGGGCTCTGGTCATAGCAGCTCTGCCACAGTTTCTCAAACCACAGTTTGTGCTTCTGTTCCTGTTGTTTCTGCTGTGGGGAAGGCCCCTCTGCTGCCTTTACCCCTGGGGAAATTCTGTCCAAGCTTCAGGGAGCACCTCAGGGTCTCCACCTCGCCTCTGCCCAGCACGCCCTGGCCTTCGGTGTCCCAGGAGTCCATGGTCTGTGACACCACCCCAGAGCACAACACACTATATTCTGGCTGTATTTGCAGGAACCTGCCTCATTTCCTAGACTTCATCAATTAGGCAAATTCCTCTTCCGTTCAATCCCAAACACAGTTATGGAAGCCACAGCAGCCCTGTTGGCCTCTGAGAATACAAACCAAACAAGACATCCCATGGGCCCCGAGGTCCCTGTTCTTTGCTTGGTAGTCCCACAAGTGAACTGGCAATTGCTCCCCCAGGATAAATGCCAGGGCAAAGGTAGATGGGGAGAGAGCCTCTGGGGAGGATGGTGGGGAGGAAAGGAGAGAGGGAAGGCTCTTCCTTTGAGTGGAGACCTGAAGGATAGATAGCAGAGCCAGGTGAGGGGATGATGATGCGGTCTCTCTGAGCAAAAAAGATACATAAAGCCCAGAGCATTCCAGGAGAATGCTTCTGGAACTGCCAATGGCTTCATCTGCAGGTGAATGGCCACGGGATGGGAAAGCAGGCTGATGCCGGAAAGGTTCTTAACCCTGAAAGAACCTAACCCTAAAGAACCTAGGAAGATGGTGAAGTGTTTTAAGCAGGATGAAAGACTTGAATTAAATAGCATTTAGAGAAGCTAAATAGAGAAACAGCATTTGGAAGAATTAAATAGCATTTAGAGTGCTTACCACGTATCAGGTGTCAAGCTAAGCACTTTGACCACAGTATTTCACTTAATCCTCACAACAACTCCATGGGCTAGGAATTGACCTCGTTTTACAGATGGGAACACTAAGATTTAGACCATGTTAGCAGAAGTGGAGAATGGATAGGTAAGGGGAAAGTTAGTTAGGAAGCCTGATTGTGGTTGAAAGAAGAGAAATTGAAGAGTAGATGGAAGGGAAGGAGGTAGGTGGAGACAGTGAGTGCTTTCTTCTCTTTCAGGCTTTGGCTTTACGAGCAGGAGAACTAGGAAGGGGATACAGTTGAGAGGAGTTGGTGGTGGTTGCTTTTAGGATGCATGAGGTCAGCATTTGGTTTTCTTGCTCGCAAAAGTACTGGCAGAGAAAAAGAGGCTGCACAGACAGTCAGAGCTGGGCAGGACTGATGCCCCTGAGGAGGTGCAGACCATGAGACCCAGGGTATAAGAAGGAATGAACCTCAGATGGGAGAAAGGCAGTCCTTCCACTTTAGCAGGAAGAGCAGGGGAACAGGTAGAGAAGTGGGGTGTAATGACGTGAGACTGTAGCCAGCCTGCTAGATGCTCACCCAACAGACATGCCACTCCTTCTTTCTGGATAAAAGTTGCCATCCTCTACCAGGTGGTGTGCTAAGAGGAGGCCAGCCCCAGAGGATGATTCTTGACTGACCCCATCCAATTCTGATCATCTAATGTCTTTAGCTTGTGATTGGTTTAGGGCGGGCATGTGGCCCAGTTTCAGCCAATGAGAGACGAGAGAAGTCTACTGGAGGGCTTCTGGAAAAGATTTCCTGACCTTCAAAGAGGCCCCAGGCAGTCACAGCCTTTTCCTACTCTGGATGTTGTCAAGTGAGAGTGAGACAACTGGAGCTGGGACAGTCATCTTGCCACCTGCTCAAGGATGAGGAAGGTCATAGAAGAGAGCAGAGTTGAGAGAATCACAGGAAATGGATACAGAGCCCTGGCACTCCATGCTTGGAGCCAGGCAGAGGTTGTCGTTGAAATAACCTTACAACATGAGACATGGGTTGATGAATTCTTTTTTTTCTCCTTATGACTATCTACATTAAAAAAAAAAAACTCTAAATTTTTTGGTTGAAAGGATGTCTATCTAGATGTGTAGGGGGGAAAGTGGAAAAACAACATGGAAAACCAGTAAAAGTGGTTTTTCTCCTTTTTGTCAGAAGTTGAAATAAAATGGGCTGGAAAGATACAAGTTGGGAAAGAATTTAGAGAATGAAAGTTTGAGAGACATCCAACTTGTCACCCCAAAGAATCAGAGTACTTGAAGAAAGTGACAGAGTTCCTTAGCTAGGAGAGGAGAGGGAAGACAGTGCACGTGCAAAACCCCATTCTCTCCAGTTTAAGTGACAGAGTGAGACTTTGACTAAAAACAAAAACAAAAACAAAACAAAATCTCAGCTTAGCTCTCCTTAGATCCCCCTATTTGGAAGGTTTCTTGCAAAACCCTAACTAATACATTGCTATTCTCCTGGTCAGTGTCTGGTAGCTGCTACCTCACTTCCTGTGGAATAAAATCGAGTCCCCTGCATGTGGTCACCTGGGTGGCACGATAAGGATTGGAGTTTCTTTGGGGCCCAGTATAGGCTTCAGAAGTTGGCTAGAAGAATGATGCAGGTCCACCCTACCCAATATGGTAGCTACTAGTTACAGGTGGCTCCTGGACACTTGAAAAATGGCTGTGCCAATATGACATATTGCATAAATGTAAAATACACCAGATTTCAATGGCAGAAGGATGCAAGCTATATCATCAATAATTTGTATATTCTTTACCAATTGGAATATTAGTCTTTTTGGATATATTGGACTAAATAAATATAGTCTTTTTTTTTTTTTTTTTTGAGTTGGAGTCTCACTCTGTCGCCCAGACTGGAGTGCAGTGGCCACTCCCGGCCACCGCAGCCTTGACCTGCTGGGCTCCGGCGATCCTTCCGCCTCAGCCTTCCAAGTAGCTGGAACTACAGGTGCGTGCTACCACGCCTGGCTAATTTTTTGATTTATCGTAGAGATGAAGTCTCCACTGTAGTCCCAGCTACTTGGAAGGCTGAGGTGGAAGGATTGCTTGAGCCCAGCAAGTCAAGGCTGTGGTGGCCGTGAGCGTGACACTGCACTGCATCCTGGGCAACAGAGTGAGACTCCGACTCAAAAATAAATAAATCAATAAATAAAATTCCTCCTATTTCTTCTTACTTTTTAAAATGTAACTACCAGAAAATTTACAATTACATTTATGGCTTGCATTGGATGGTGCTGAGCTAGATTGTAGGCCCATAAGACGCCATCAAGTGGAGCAAGAAGGCCCCATCCACAGAGCCTGGGAGTGGGCCCTCTCTCACGCCAGGAAGTTCACAGGCATCTGGACCATTTAACGTGCCCTTGGAGAGTGGTGGGAAGGGAGCAACTTGGGGCAAGTTCCCTTATCCCGAGCCCTGTAGGCACTGCAGAGGATGAGAGCCCAGTGGTGGGGTGGTTGCACATAGAGGAAAGCATTCCATTGATCCAGTGTCTGGGCTTTTCCCAGGAAGGTAACAATACAGGCAGACAAAATGCCAAGGCAGTCACAGGTACTGACAAAATAGTGTTTGAAATGGTAAATCATGGGTTCAAGACCAGCAAGGAAAAGGAATAGAGATGGAGAAGAGGGTGTGGCAACCAAGAAATTGGGAGAAAATTGAGGGCTGTTGAACTGAAGTCTACGCGATCAAAGAGAAGCTGTATTTCTGCAGTTCACTCATTCACTTATATCTCATTGCTCGTCTGTCTCAGGCAGAGATAACAGACAGACACAGGGCTCTCCTGACTTTCACGGGGTTTTGTTGTTGGTTGTGTCTATACTGAACTTTTAAAAAATCCAGTATAAAAAATTTAAAACATTTTTAAAAATAAAAATTCTATCAAACCACTCACATGTAAAACTCACATCTGTACCACTTACCGATTTGTCTCGGGAGATCTTCTTGAAGATAACATGGTTCTGTGTAGACCTCTTCCCGCTGGCTGCCATGTTATCTGTCCCGGGCAACTTCTTCTACCTCGGGATATATGTTAGGTGCTAGAGGATTGGGAAAAGGTAAAACAATCCTAAATATAAAGACAAGAACATCCTGAGTGGAAAATCTACTCATGAGATGCTATACACCCACTGGATATGGTGGGTGTGGTGTGCTGTTTTTTCTTAAAGTCTTTTATTTTTCTTGGTAAGTCTGAAACATTTCTCAGTAAACCTCACCGGAGAGCCTAGCTAGATTTGAAAGAAAAGGTTTTACTTTCTAAAAAAACTTTTGGTGTCACCACACTTAGGCAGGTTGAATCTAAAGTTCTATCCCCACTGTGTCTTATGGCAAATAAATAGTAAAGTTCCTTAAAAGCACAACATAATCACTTCACAAATACAGTTTTCAAGAGTATCTAAAAATCCCTAGGGCTGGGCATGGTGGCTCATGCCACTTTGAGAGGGGGAGGCAAGAGGACTGCCTGAGCCCAGCGGTTTGAGATCAGGCTGAGCAACTTGATGAAAACTCATCTGTACAATAAATCAAAAAAATTAGCCAGGAGTAGTGGTACACACCTGTGGTTCCAGCTAACTGGAAGACTCGGGTGGAAGGATGATCACCTGAGCCCAGCAGGTCAAGGTTGCGGTGATTGTGAGCATGCCACTGCACTCCAGCCTAAACAACAATGTGAGACTCCAATTCAAAAAATAAAAATAAATAAAAATCCCTGATCTATTTAGCGATTCATATTAAGCAATGTTTTCCTTCCCCTGCTCTTTTACTATTCCCAGTTTTACAGACAACTAAGAGGCCATCTTAGTGGTCTAGAATTAAATGCACTGTATGTTTCCTTTTTTTTTTTTCTTTTTTTTTTTTTTGAGTTGGAGTCTCACTCTGTCGCCCAGACTGGAGTGCAGTGGCCGCTTTTGGCCACCACAGCCTCGACCTGCTGGGCTCCGGCGATCCTTCCGCCTCGGCCTTCCAAGTAGCCGAAATTACAGGTATGCGCTACCACGCCCGGCTGATTTTTTTGATTTACTGTAGAGATGAGGTTTCCCTGCCCAGGTGGGTCTCGAACCCGCGGACTCAGGCAATCCCCTCACCTCAGCCTCCCAAAGGCATGGGATTACAGGCTGAGCCACCGAGCCCGGGTTTTTTTTTTTCAGTTGAGAGACAGAGTCTTGTTCTGTCACCCAGGCTGGAGTGCGGTGACGTGATTACAACTCACTGCAGCCTCAAAGTCCTGGGCTCCAGTGATCCTCCCATCTCAGTATTCCAAGTAACTGTGACTATGGGCACCAACACTATTCTTATTAAACATTGTTTAGAAATGGGGGTCTCACTATGTTGCTGGGCTGGTCTTGAATTCCTGCCCTCAAGTGATCCTTCCACCTGGACCTGGGTCGCTGGGATTACAGGCATGAGTTACAATGTCCAGTTCATAAGCAAAGTCTTATGAAAACCACATAGAAAAGGCAAAACCGTCTCCATGAAAATGACCATCCTTGCTTTTCCCCGCACCTGCCCCGAATTTCTGAGAAGGCTTGGGCTGTGATGGTCACATACCTTGTGATTTGTCACCAACCAGGTAGGATGGGCCAGGTAGCAGGAAAGGGTCTCTATGCCCCTGGATGACAAGCAGCCAGCCCCTGCTCTGAGCAAGCTGGTACTGGCTCACCAGAAGCACCAGTGAAGCTTCAGCCTATGTGTGTGCAGAATTTGTAGGGAATCTGGCGGGGATGCCCAGCACTTAGGTCTCAATGTCTAGAAGCAAATCCTATTAAAGGAGCAGAGTCGGATTAGCGTTGAGATGGTGAACTGGCAGTTTCAGCAGTTTTGGGCATTAAGCAAGCCACCCCCCAGACTCTGTACAGAGGGTCTCACAGATGTATGAGTCACCCAGCTCACCTGGGGAAGACATTGCGGGAGGAACAACAGCTAAATGAAAGCTACTTTTTTATCTTAAACCTCTTTGGGTTCTGGAAATAGACCGATTATCCCTTCACCCCCTGGCATCACCAGGACAGGAGATTTGATTAAACTTGATTAAACTCAGCAGGCAGCTAATGCAACCTTGGGGGTGGGGACATAAACAAAAAGGTCAAGGAGAAACGTCAACCTCAAGACGAACTTGGTGTTATGCAAGACAAGCTAAATATGTCTCTCTCCTCCACCTGGTCCTGTTGATTGCGTCAGGAGTCCTGTTGATTCCTGCCCCCGCCCCCATGTCTCCGGAAGCTGTAACCTCTCTTCCCCACTGCTCCCTCCTGAGTCCACACCACCATCTTTGCTTCCCTGGACCACAATGATCCCCACTGTCTGATTACATCCATCTCTACCCTCCAGGTCCTCCTCGGAACTGCCGCGGAGAGAACTTCCGAGCCCTGATCCGCCACTCCCTGCTTACAGCTGCTCGCTGCTCTTAGGACACAGGCAAGAATCTTGCAGCAGCTGGAGCCTACCTGCCCTTCCTTTCACATCCTGTGCCACACTCTCCCTTGCTCCCTCCCTGCTCTTCTTTTTGTCTGGAACAAGCCTTTCCTTTCTACACCTTGTAGATTCTTTTTGACCCTTCAGATTTTGACTAGGAGTCATTTTCTCAAGAGGACCATCCCCCAACCTCCAGGACCAGGTTGAAGGTGCCGGTGCATTCCATCCTTGATTGGGAGATTATTCTACAGTTGTCTTCCCTCATTTGATTCTAGGCCCCATGAGAGTGGGAGCCAGGCCAATACATTCCCCTCACTTTTTTTTTTTTTGAGTTGGCGTCTTACTCTGTCACCCAGGCTGGAGAGTAGTGGCACGCTCACGGCCACCACAGCCTCGACCTGCTGGAATCAGGCAATCTTTCCACTTCAGCCTTCCAAGCAGTTGCAACCACAGGTGTGCACCACCACGCCTAGCTAATTTTTTATTTATTGTAGGGACGGGGCTTTGCCAAGTTGCCCAGGCTGGTCTCGAACCCATGGGATCAGGCAATCCTCTCCCCTCTGCCTCCCAAAGTGCTAGGATTACAAGTGTGAGCCACTGTGCCCAGTATCCCCTCACTTTTGTCTTCACTGTGCCTGGAACCTGCTTTTTTTTTTTTTTTTTTTGAGTTGGAGTCTCACTCCGTTGTCCAGGCTGGAGTGTGGTGGCACGCTCACGGTCACCCCAGTGTCAACCTGCTGGGCTCTGGCGATCCTTCCATCTCAGCCTTCTGAGTAGCCAGAACTACAGGCACGTGCTACCATGCCCAGCTAATTTTTGATTTATTGTAGAGACGAGGTCTCACCATTTTGCCCAGGACGGTCTCGAACCCGTGGGCTCGCAATCCTCTTGCCTCAGCCTCCCAAAGTGCTGGGATTATAGGCTTGAGCCACTGTGCCTGGCTTGGAACCTGCTTCTAAAAACACTCAGAAATGAATGAATGGAACACTGTGGCCACTAACACACTTACATGGAGGATTGAGCTGGGAATGAAGCAAGTATATGCAGAAAGCCTATTCTGGCATTTGGGGTGTTAGCATCTTTCAGAACATTCCAATGGCTTCCCATCTAAGTCTGGACAATGCCTGCCAGGTCCCACATGATCTGCCCTCATGTTACCTCTGACCATATTTCTCTCCACTCCTTCTCTCGCCCACTTTGTTTTAGTCCACTGGCCTCTTTCTTTTCTTTTCTTTTGAGTCACAGACTCACTCTGTCACCCAAGCTGGAGTGCAGTGGGACACTCATGGCCACTGCAGCCTCAACCTGCTGGGCTCAGGTGATCCTTCCACTTCAGCTTTCCAAGTAGCTGGAACCACAGGTGTGCACCACTATGCCCAGGTAATTTTTTTAATTTTAATTTAATTTAATTTAATTTAATTTTTTAAAGTTGGAGTCTCACTCTGTCGCCCAGACTGGAGTGCAGTGACCGCTCCCAGCCACCGCAGCCTCGACCTGCTGGGCTCCAGCGATCCTTCCGCCTCAGCCTTCCAAGTAGCCGGAATTACAGGCATGCGCTACCACGCCCGGCTGATTTTTGATTTATTGTAGAGATGAGGTCTCGCCAAGTTGCCCAGGCGGGTCTCGAACCCGCGGGCTCAGGCAATCCACTCACCTCAGCCTCCCAAAGGCGCGAGATTACAGGCTGAGCCACTGAGCCCAGCTAATTTTTATTTTAGAGACTAGATTTGGTCATGTTGCCCAGGCTGGTCTCGAACCCATGGACTCAGGCAATCTTTTCGCCTCCACCTCCCAAAGTGCGAGATTACAGGTGTGAACCACACCTGGCTCTCTTTGCTTTTCTTTAAATCTGTCTCAGGGCCTTTGCATTTGCTGTTTCCTCTCCTGGAAAACTCTTCCCACAGAAAGCCACATGGCTCACTCCCTTAATTCCTTGGAGTTTTCAATGTTACCCTATCCATTGTATACCCTATTGTAACCAACTTAACTCACCCAATGTCTATCTTCCTTCCCTGCATTATTTTTCTCTATAGCACCAATCACCATCTAACACACAAGAGCATTTACTTAGTTGTCTTATTTATTGCCTATTCTCCCCAACCCTTCACCAGAATGTGAACTCCAGGAATGTAGAGTTTTTTTGTTTGTTTGTTTTTTGAGTTGGAGTCTCAAGTCTCTATGTTGTCTAGGCTGATCTTGAACTCTTGCGCTCAAGCAATCCTCCCACCTCAGCCCCGCAAAGTACTAAGATTACAGGTGTAACCACTGCACCTGGTTGGCCCCTATACTTTAAAACACAAGGACTTGACCAGGTGTGGTGGCTCACACCTATAATCCCAGCACTTTGGAGGCTGAGGTGAGAGGATTGCCTGAGCCTAAAGGCTTGAGAAAGCCTGGGCAATTTGGCGAGACCTCATCTCTACAGTAGGTAAAAAATTAGCCAGGCATGGTGGTGAGTGCTTGTATTTCCAGCTACTTGGAAGGCTGAGGCGGAAGGATCACCTGAGCCAGCAGATCAAGGCTGCGGTGGCCGTGAGTATGCCACTGCATTCCAGCCTGGGCAGGATGAGACTCTGACTCAAAAAAAAAAAAAACACAAAACACACACACACACAAAAACCCCCCACAAGGATTCATTCATGAAGAGTTGATGGGGGAAATAACTGTCCCTAGAGCACCAAAGTGATGCCATAGGGATCACAACGCATCACAAGGTGCATCACAGATTCAGTGGTCAATTTTAGCATTGCCAGTGGTGTCAGCCACCCGTGATGTGTCCCCTTGGGTTAACTTGAATCCACAAGACTTTAGACCTCACTTCTAGTTTATGAGAAATATAGGGAATAGAGGAACAAGCTAAATGACACTATAAGGGAGCTGCCAGATAAATCCAGAAAGTAGCTGGTGTCTTACGTAAGTCAATGCCATAGAAAAGAAATGTACTAGATTAAAAGACATTATAGGTCTCAACATCCAGAAGCAAGATGTGGTTCCAGATTGGGCACCCAATTGGCTCAACAGAATGTATAGGACATTTGGGGTTCATTGGGAAAATCTGAGTATGATGAGAGAAAAATTACTGGAATAGGAAGAAATTGTGACTGAACAAAGAAGGTTATAGAATGGCATGTATATATAACATGATCGCATTTTGCAAACATAGACTGTGTGTGTCTATACACATGTATGTATATTTACACACAACACACATGCATATATGCTGATGCATATTTATATATATATACACATACACATGCATGTTCACAAACCTATGCATAATCTGCAAGGTTATATTATACACCAAGGAGCTGCCACTGGTGATCTCTGTGTCATGGAAATGTTAGGTTTTAATCTCGTTAAAAATTTTTTTTCCTAGCTGGGCTCGGTGGCTCAGCCTGTAATCTTGCGCCTTTGGGAGGCTGAGGTGAGTGGATTGCCTGAGCCCGTGGGTTCAAGACCCGCCTGGGCAGCAAGACCTCATCTCTACAATAAATCAAAAAATCAGCCGGGCGTGGTAGCGCATGCCTGTAATTCCGGCTTCTTGGAAGGCTGAGGCGGAAGGATCGCCGGAGCCCAGCAGGTCGAGGATGCGGTGGCCGGGAGTGGCCACTGCACTCCAGTCTGGGTGACATAGTGAGACTTCAACTCAAAAAAAAATAAATTTTTTCCTGTCTGTAATTTTTGCATTTTCTCCAATTATCATTTACTGATCCTATAACAGAAAGGTTTAAAAGTTGCTATAAATTTAAAAGAATATTTAATTTTTCCCTTAAAAATACAAAGATTAAGCCGGGCTCGGTGGCTCAGCCTGTAATCCCACGCCTTTGGGAGGCTGAGGTGAGTGGACTGCCTGAGCCTGCGGGTTCGAGACCCTCCTGGGCAGCGAGACCTCATCTCTACAATAAATCAAAAAATCAGCCGGGCATAGTAGCACATGCCTGTAATTCCGGCTACTTGGAAGGCTGAGGCAGAAGGATCGCTGGAGCCCAGCAGGTCGAGGCTGCAGTGGCCGGGAGTGGCCATTGCACTCCAGTCTGGGTGACAGAGTGAGACTCCGACTCAAAAAAAAAAACCAACAAAGATTAGACGAAGAAAGGTGACTAGGGCTCTTCTTTCAGCATCCCCATCACAGGGCTGCCCTGATGGGGAGCTGTGGCTGCAGGCCCACACCCAGTTTGCAGTTGTGGGTGCTCCTGGAATCCTCCTGTGGCTTCATGGGTACCAGGTTGCAAGAAGGGCACAGAATGGCAGATCTTAGTCACTGACCTGCCAATGTCTTGAAGGTGGGCACATTTAGGGATGGACTGAATAACAAAACTCTTTTTTTTTTCTTGGAATGTCATTCCCAAATCCTGGTCTGTGGTGAATTTTTTTCTTCTTGATGGAGAAATGAGAAAAATAAGGACACTCTTGTTTTTCTAAGAGCCAAGTTTATGCACTGTAAAGGATTGCTCTATAAAGAGTATGAGGCTCTTAAT